CTGGGGATCGAGCCTTCAACCCGGGCCTGGGCCCTGATGGGAATCGAACCCTGACCTCCTGGTTCCTGGGTTGACTCTCCACCACTGAGCCCTGTGGGCCAGGCCTTCCTTGTTTTAGAAAAGGAGGCCTCACAGGGGTGCTGACAAAGGCAGGGATGTGTCAGAAGTGGCGCAGAGAGAGCTGCGGGGGGCGGGGGGCAGGGGGGGGGGCTCATGCATGAGTCACCGGCAGCATTGCTCTCACTCAGCAGCCTTCCCCGTGGGGGCCTATGGCACGTACACAATCCGGTTAGAACGACCCTGCCGGAGGCCGAGAGCCTTTAGAACGGGGGCCCACCTGTGGGCACGCCCAGCCTCTCCGTGGGAGCAGTGGCTGCAGCCTTTCTGGTTGAGGGGCTGGTGCTCTCTGGCCTCCTCGTCTCTCGTCCCAGGTGCCAAAGTGATTAGGTGCAGGGTCTGAGCCAGAGGCTGTGACTCCCAGCCGGTGGCTCCTCTCCTGTCGGCCCCAAGGGTCTGACACCTGTGGGACCCGGGACCCGGCCATGGAGGCAGCCCAGGCTGGAGTGTGTCTGCCACTTGCTCTGCTGGCCTCCACGCTGATCTACACCCGGTGCAGCCTTAGCCAACACGCGTGACCTTCCCCAACAGAACGGGCCCGGCAGAGCGGGGTGGGGCGGGCTGGGGGTGGGGAGTCCCGATCGGGCCCCTCCCAATCTCACCTTCTGGCCAAACTAATGTGCATGTGCCGGGCACCTCCGCGGACATCTGAGGAGGCTCCGCGCAGGCGTGGGCTCGGTGGTTTGACATGTGCATTTGCTCCGCTGCTTCCTCCCACGCTGATCAGCCGCACGGAACTCGGGCTCCGGGTCCTGCTTCAATATTTAATCATTTGGCTCCGTTCAGTGGATGTCATTAAACTAAAATAGAAAACCCGTCGGCAAAGAGCACTTTGAGGGCTGCTACCTCGCTGAGGCCGTCCATCTCCAGGCACGAAACAGGCTCTGCCCTCCCCCCTTCTCGCTCTCTCTTTCCTTTTTAACCTTTTTAACCCTCTGTAGCCCACAGGTTAGCGGGAAGCTGTGGGTCCTGGGATGTGATTTCTCCCCATCGCCCAGCGGTCCCATTCGGAGAAACTGTCTTGGAGACATGGTCTGGGCATCCTCGGGTCTGCGTCCGGCTGGGGGCCAGGACGGGCCAGGTCTGCAGGGCTTCTGGCACTGCAGCGATGCCAGTACCCACGGCTCCACCAGCAGCTGGCACTGTCACGCCTACTATGTGTCAGACCCCGGTAAAGCGCTTTGCACACATCAGCTCATCCAATGTGTGCAGAGTGTTGATCGATAAGGAGCCGGAGGCCTGAGTCAGTGACAGGCCACGCAGGAGCGGGTGGGGGAGTGCGGGGCTGTCTGAGTGGCAGGGGCGTTCACCAGGGGTCACAGTGAGTCCAGGAGGCCTGGCCCTTCCGGGGGCCCTGCTCAGGCACAACTTGCCTCTGGATTGTCTTCCATGTCCGTCACCTGCAGGACTGTCTCGCTCAAGCTCCAGGAGCCCGTGGGGGGTGGAGGGGCAGGGGGGTCCACACGCCAGCATTGCACACGTTGGGCTCTGTCCGGACGCGCTGGGCCTCAGGGACCCGCCCCATCCGACTTTCACACGCGCGCTCCACGCACCTGCCAACGTGCAACTCAGTCAACAGGAGGAATTATGGGGCAGACGACGTCGCTCCCAGCTGGGGTTCTGGGTAAACATTGAGGTAATTTGCTCTGTAATAACCGTAAGTGACGCCATGACCTAAATGTAGTCTCGGAGGCCCCTCCTAACTGTGTGTATGTGGTGTGTGGTGTGTGTATGATGTTTGTGATGTGTGTGTGGTGTGCGGTGTGCGGTGTGTATGTGGTATGTGGTGTGTGTATGATATGTGTGTGTGGCATGTAAGGTATGTGTGTGGTGTGTGCAGTGTGTATGTGGTATGTGTGTGGTGTGCGGTGTGCGGTGTGTGTGTGGTGTGTGATGTGTGTGGTGTGTGGTGTGCGGTGTGTATGTGGTATGTGGTGTGTGTATGATGTGTGTGTGTGTGGCATGTAAGGTATGTGTGTGGTGTGTGGTGTG